TCATTCCAACCAGAACACTTTTGAGTGAGAGAGGTGTTATAAAATTTTTCACCAGGACAAGCGTAAACCAGGTCTGTGGTGGGTATATCAGGACATAGATCACCCTTGGTATATCTCACAACCAAACACCATTCAATTTACAAGGTGCTTCAAAATGTATCCTCTCATTGGATCCCTGTACAAATTTGGCAGGACAGGAATTATCTCCAGCTTGTAGATTGGGAAGCCAGAGACCCAGCTAGGGTCTTAGGTTCATAAATCCTAAAGTGACAGAGCAATTAGGCATCAAAACTGTACATTAGACCAGCGTTGCTAAATCTGTCATGCTGACTATTTTTCACAGTCCACAAGCTAAAAATGGTTTTTACATTTTTAAGTGGTTATATAAGTCAATACATAATTACCTCCATTTTGCCTCTTAGCCTGTAAAGCCTAAAATATTTTCTATTTGGCTCTTTACGTAAAAAAATTCACAGTCCCTGCTTGAGACCATTGCCACCACCACTTCTAAAACATACACCCCAGGAAAACTCTGAATTACTAGAGTTGTACTGCAATTCCACATGCAAGAGAGAAATCTTTGCGTCATAAGCCCCAAATATACTATATTTTATTTTGAATCACATGGCGGTTTACCATCTAAGCTCAGACCACCCTTCAAAGTAAATCTGCCAATCTTGAGCACACCATACAAAAGAAGCACCAAAAAGTCTTAAATAAATCATATTCAAACTCAGAAAACCAAAGAGAAAAAGAAAATCTTGAAAGATGCTGTAGCAGGAGGGATGGGGGAGCACTTTACCTACAGAGGAATACAGATGAGAATTACAACAGACATCTCCTGAGAATCCACCCTGCAAAAAGAGGGTGGAGTGAAATATATAATATTTTGAAAGAAATAAGTTACTGACTAGAATTCTATATCCAATGAAACTGTCCTTCAAGAGTGAAGAAGAAATAAAAACTTTTTCAGACAAATAAAAACTGAGGGGGCTTCCCTGGTGGCACAGTGATTGAGAGTCCACCTGCCAATGCTGGGGACACGGGTTCGTGCCCAGGTCTGGGAAGATCCCACGTGCCGCGGAGCGGCTGGGCCCGTGAGCCATGGCCGCTGAGCCTGCGCGTCCAGAGCCTGTGCTCCGCAACGGGAGAGGCCACAGCAGTGAGAGGCCTGCGTACCGCAAAAAAAAAAAAAAAAAAAAAAAACTGAGGGAGTTCATCAGTAGCAGACCTCCTCTAGAAGGAATGTTAAAAGAAGCTTTTCAGGCAGAAGAAAAATGGTATAGGTCAGGCGCTCAGATCTACATAGCAAAAAAAAGTGTCTGTTTTATTGTCTTAAAGCTTCTGGAAGGCATGAACTTTGTCTTATTCATCAGGCATCACCAGGGCTTAGCAAAATGCAGGCACACAATAGGTCCTGAAAGACTGCTTGAATGGGTCATGAACCAATATTCTGGAGGTTTCTTCTCACTAGGACACATTCAAACAGCCCAAAGGCAGCTGTGGAGCACAAAGTTCGACTTATACCTGGAGACGGAAGACGGGGATCCTACTCATCCCTCCCCCTTCATTCCCCCAAATCTAAATCTTGGGACCAGCATCTTCATACTGCCTCATACCACACCCTCATCCTGAGAGACAAGTAAGGAGAGGGAGAACTGAGGCTCTGACATGTCCATCCAGTTGTATGCTCAGGAAAGATGAAATAGGAGAGAGACAGAGACAGAGAAAGAGACAGACAGAGAGAGACAGAGACAGAGAGAGAGTTAGCCTCGATCAGCGGCAGGAAGTAGAAGGAGGCAACACATGATGTTCAGCTTTAAGACATGGTGGCCCTACCCATGAGTAAATATGGCTCTGTAAGTGTCCTGGGTGCAACAATTGTTCCATCAATCACACTGGTACCTACTCCTCCCTTAAGAGAGAGGCAGAAGGGTGGGAGAAGGGAGCAGAAGAGTCCTATCATCCGGAAGTAAAGAAGCCCATGATGCAAATTGGATTATGATCCCACCTGGGGAATGGGAGTGGAAGCTTCTCATCCATCGAGGTAAATCTGTTCTCATGGCAGTTAAATCTCTGCTTCCCTCCGAAAGGCCAAACTTTCTTTCAGTCCAGCCTGGCTAACCACAGAGTTTTCCCAGTAAATCCAGGCTCTCAGTATTTTAGAAGGTCAACAATATAGGAAAGAACAGTCCCTAGGAAAGTACTGTCTGCTCCTTACCAAACTCATTGATTAGAAGACCTATGAGAGGACAAAGGCAGTCCCTTCTCACAGTGCCAGACACTTGGCTTAAAAACATAAGAAGTCAAGCGCCCAGCCAGATCTTTTCAGTCCAATGCTTTCTTGGTCTAAATCAGTGATGTGAGCCTCTGCACACCAGTTTCACACCATCTATTGGCAGTTCACAATGTCTACTGGCATGGTAACCTGCCTAAAGCTCCAGCGAGATCTGACTGCAGATCCCTGGGAAAGCATTTGTAAGTAACCCACGGTCTTTCTCTCCAGCGGAACTTCTCAACACTGTTCAGGGGACCACATTCACTCCCAAGTGACCACTAATTTAAAAATCAGGGAGAGTGAGTCTTAAAGTGGGCATTGCTTTTGTCTTAAGATACTCCTTTTTCTCACCCTTACCTTTCAGTTCCCACTGCTTCTCATCTCTAGGGCCCTCTCCTGCCTCTCAATGTCAGAACCCCCTTGAGCACCATGCAAGATGCTCCCCATATATCAGTGGTTCTCAAAGTATGGTCTGTGGACCAGGAGCTTCAGCATCACTTGGCAACTGGTTAAAAAGAAAGAAAGAAAGAGAAAAGAAAGAAAGAAAGGAAAGGAAGAAAGAAAGAAGAAGGGCTTGTACCCAACACAACAGGGCCTCTTGACATTTAATACAGATGGAGATCAAGGTGGCCCTCCATCCTAGCTATTGAGGCTCAAGGGCACAGCTCTGGGAATCGTACAGCCTCCAACTTAGGAAACTTCTCTGGAAAGACTTGTCAATGTACCATGACTGCCCTCACACCCAGAACAGGTGGAAATAAGACTTACAGTTGGTAGGGATAGGAACTATTCTGAATACCACTCACATCCTCCCCACAGGAGGGAGATGGGACCTGCTACATAACAATACACAATGGAAACAATACATAATACAATGCCAGTCACTCTGTCTCAGCTCAGGCAGTGGATGTTGTGCGATAAAAGGCACAAAATCAAAAGAGCACAAGCCCTTGGGGAGAGGTGAGGGGAGCAGTCAGGGTTGACTGGAGGACAGGAGGGGTATGGACAAGTCATGGGAGGTAAAGCTGGAGATGTGAGTTGGGACCAGCCTAGTACCACGTGCACAGCCCACCTGGCAGCACTTGCCCTCTTTCAGAGTCAGTGCAGGAGCATATTTACACACAGGTCTGGAGCTAGATAGCTGAGTTCCAATCCCAGTCTGAGTCTTGAGCAATCAACTTAACCTTTCCACATATCCATTACCAAATTGGTAAAAAGGTGATAGTCATAGTACCTTACATATACATACATAGGAACTTACAACATGCGGTTGATGTGAGGATTAAGTCAATGCCTGCAAAGCACTTAAACAGTGCCTGGAGCCTAAGAAAGCATGCAATGTGTTAGCTATTACTGTAGGTATTATTATTGTTAATTCTGCCATCAACAGGGCCACTGGAAGGAGAGTGATAAGATCACAACCTCTCCTTCAGGTGCTGGATTGGACTGTAGTGTGTAGGATGGAAGGGATCAGAGAGGTGGAAGACCAAGAAACTAGTTTGGAGGTCACTGCAATTCTAGGTAAGAGGTGCCACTCAGAGTAGCAAAGGTAAAGGAAAGAAAGGGAAGGGAAATGGACCAGACATCAGATACATCTGAGCAGTGAACTGACAACACTTGGCAAATGACTGGGCGTGGCTGGTGTGGAAAATGAAATGGTCAGAAGATAAAACGATGTTGTCCGAAAACATGTCCATTTTTGCAACAAGGTAACTGCTGAAATGACGCTAAGAAATTAATTCTGCCTGCTCTTTACTAAGCTTCCTGTTCATCCTGTTGTACCCAGTGACCCTGGTACTCACAGACATTCAGAGCTTCTCCCTTCTCTAACACTCTAATCTTCTGATCCTCTGCCAGGAAACCTCAACTTCACTTACCTTGTCTAAAGGTGACTTTTAAGCTACTTGCCATGCAGCTACCCGCACACAGAGCAACTGATGACTGGCCATCATTCCACCTGGTTCCAAAAGCCTCCAGGCAGGCCCCCAACTCCATTCCTCCTACCCTTTTAATCTTTCTCCCGGGAGGCTTCAGACAAGTTATTAAGTCCAATTTACAAGGAAGTGGGGAGCATCCAAACGGAGCAAGTCAGTAAAATGACTAGAGATGACAGTAGGTCCCTTCTCAGCAACACTCCTGTCCCCACACGTATCACCCTGCACATCCACTCTCTGAAAAGTCCAGTCTCTTTTCTACCTGTATTCAATCCTAAAATACTTCCCACCACACAGACACCACTGACATCCACCCGGGAGCGGGGCTCCACGTCCCTTGCAGGCAAGTGCACGGAGCTAAGAATCAGCAGACCCACCTTTTAACTCTATCAGTAAGTTGTAACAAACGACTTGCCCTGTCAGGCCTCAGACCTGAGCCTAAATTCTGATGACCTCCCCACTCCCCGCGACCAGCAGGGGGCAAAGTCGACGGGAGGCACCCCCAGAGCTAGCTCCTCTGGGTTCCAGAAGACCCGCGAGGTCCGCACTTCCGGATACAGCCCCGCACTCTCCGCGGGCAGGGGAACCCCGTAAGCTGTCGCCCCGTGCTCCTCCAGCGGGCCTACAGCTACCTGGTCCAGCAGCCGGTAGATGCTGATACCGAAGGTCTCCACCAGCAGCTCCCAGTCGGCCCCGGAAAGTGCGGGCTGCTGAAGCTCAGCGAAGGCTTCCCGGAACTGCTCCTCAGAGAAGCCGCCGGCCCCAAGGTCCATCCTTCCGCAGTAGCTGCTTCTCAACCTGCCTGGAAGGCCAAGGACAGGCTAGGTTCGTGTTCGGGGGCGGGGCGAGAGGGTGGCCCAGCGTAATTGGCAGGGAACCGAAAAGTGATTGGGAGAAGGCGGGACTAGGGAGGAAGAGGCGAAGAGGAGGCGGGGCCAGCGAGGGGCAGGCCTAGAGAAGGTTTCCGCAGAGCGAGAGCTGCGGAAGGACGGGAAAGAAAGAAGACTGGAGAAACTTTGGACTTGATCTGGGGAAAGCTGGAGAGGCTAGGAAATGGGGAGGCTTCTAGACAGAAGAGAAAAGGAAGACACTAATGTCATCTCAGAAGCATCTCTTCCCCAACCTCATACCCACCAAACCTGCTTGGCTGTCTCTCCTTTACCTTCTCTGAAGAAGGCTAGGGAAGGTCTCTGAGTGGTTCGGTAGATATGGAGGTAAGATGGACAGAGCAGAGATGCTTGAAAATCTCAGGGGTCAGATGCTAGAACAATATTACATTCGTTCTGTTATGCACTTTAAAACATTTTTCCGAAACGAGGTCCATGGGATTCCCCAGAAGGCCAGAGGGTCCATCTCACAAAAAGGATTAAGAAACCTAATCCATAATGGTATTTTGCCCCCTGGATGGTGGAAGATGATCTAAAAAGGTATCATGGTGTCCACCCAAGATTTCTGCTGGTTGCATAATTTTGATCTTTTGCAACTCAAAGACCTTTTTCTTCCCTCAAGTCCCTTTGATGTTGCTATATTTCTTACCACCAGGCTGCATTTTGGTTTGGATAAAGTAGACAGCTTAAACATCAATCAGTGTAACAGTACATGGGTGCCAGTAAACTCTGGCAACCCATGTTTCCTAATCTGTGAAATGGGGTAAAATTGTACAACCAGTTAGAATTGAAGAGGTAACCACATAAAATAAGCATAGAACATGTTTGCCTATCAAAGTTTGCCTATCAAAGTAAATGTTCATTAAAATGTCCACTTGTTTTACATTTATATATTGAAATGTTTCTCCTTCTCTACTTGAAAGAAAGCCTTGAAGTTGATGGCAAACTCTGCATTTATGCCAGTTTGCAAGAAGAGAAAATGATTAGACTTGGCAGCATAGGTAAATTACTGCTGTATTCAGTTCAAGGCTGGCTCTGTTCTGTTTTATGAGGATGGGAGGAGGGATGGGGTAGTTCCCTACACTAAATGCACAAGAGGTTAGAGACTCTTAAGACTCTTAAGTTTGGTCGTCTTTATAAAAAAATATTTAAACTAAAGTTTAATTGCTTAAAAAAAGGAATTTCTTCAAAAACCATTGACTATGAAGTATTTTCATATATCGTCAAGGAATTCCATTTTAAAGGTGGGCTTTGATGAGGCTGCAGCTTTATCACTTTATAGCAATTGATTAATGAAGACAAGCATGAGAGTATAAATGGCATTATGAAAGATATAAGGCAGGAAGTTTAAATTGTGTTTATTACATGTGTTTAAACGTGTGCTTACCTACTAAACTCAGAAGGTAAAATGTATATACATTTGGGTATGTTGATATTTACAACCATGCTTATTTTACTAGAGCTAATGAAGGAAAGAGTCATATTAGGAAATAATTTTTATTTTGTGGCAAAAATCTGGTAAAGGGTTGGAAGGGTGTCCAGAAAGACCTGTTCTCCTTTAGGACATGTCTATTATAATAGGCCAGCCTCTTTCCTTTGTGAAAAACACTCTTTAGAGGAACTTCCAGCAACATGGCAGGTAAGGAATAATATATTTGGGGCTTCCTAAAATCCCAACAGACAAACGTTCTAGGGGCTGGGGTTGTGGTTCTAGTACTCACACGTGGACTAAAGATGTGGTGCTGGGCCATAGCTGGTGGGAAGCTGGACCAGGGACTTCTTCATGGAGCCTGGATCCCCTAAGAGCTGCCCCTTCCATTCCATGAAACCAGAAAATCCCCAGCCTGTAGACCATGGAGCGCTCAAGGAAACTCATGCTTTTCCCGAAGCCTTAGGTAGAAAGAAACAAAAAGGCAACTGGAAGAAACCACACCCCAAGCCTATGCCAGAAATGGAATTTAAATTTACATTACCTGCAACTGAATGGGAGCCACAAGGAGATAAATTAACACAAAGGACCATTGAAACGCCTGGGACCCTGCGAGAATCAAAACCAGTGACACTTTCACTGCTAGGACACGTGCAATTATCCAAGAGTAAACAACACCCACAAGAAGATGCATGTACAAAAAGTGAGTTACAAAGACCTGAGGGAACAGCTGTCCATGTCAGAGAGTTAGCAGATGTGCAAACAGGATTATCAGAACCAAAGAACCACAGATAACAGACCAATATGAGAGTAATTATTCAACATGTATTTGTGATAATATAAGAGGTAAAAGAAGGTCTAGAAAATAGAACACTAAGAAAAAGATAAATGAATGTGAAAAAGAACCAAAAGAAGCAAACCACCTTTTACAAATAAAAACTATTAACAGTCACTACAATTAGAAATGTAAAAGAGGAGGTAAAGTAGTTGTCCTACCACAGTTCAAGAGGGAAATAAGAAGGTGGCTATGAGGAAATTCCCCAGAAAGCAACACAGAGATATAAAGAAATGGAAAACATGAAAGATTAACTAAGAGACATGAAGGACACATTGAAAAGGTAAAACATTTATGACTGGAGTTCCACAAGAAGAGAACAGAGAGGTTAAGAGGTGAGGTGTATGGGTGGGGAGATAGGTAGATAAATGGACATATGGAAACAAAGAGAAACTAAAATTCTAAACAGCAAAAAACATCAACAGGGGAGGACAAAGTCAGAGTTTTCTTTAGAAAGTGGGTAAGAGATATTGATTAATTGTCTTCTGTGCATGCTAAAATTTAATGGAATAAATTCTCAAAAGGCAACAATAAGAAAGCAAGCAAACAAATAAAAATGGGCAAAAGATTTAAACAGACATTTCACCAAGAATATATACTGATGGCAATAAGAACATGAAAAGATACTCAGCATCATTCATCATCAGGGTAGTATAAATTAAAATCACATATGAGATATAAATATGCACCTTTTAGAGAGCTGAAATTAGAAAGATTGACCAAAGTAAGTGTTGGCAAGGATGTGGAAGAAATAGAACTCTCCTGCATTGCTGATGGGAATGGAAATGGGACAAACACTGTGGAAAACTGACAATTTCTTTAAAAGTTAAACATACACAGGAGGGGGAAGGGTAAGCTGGGACGAAGTGAGAGAGTAGCACTGACATATATACACTACCAAATGTAAAATAGATAGCTAGTGGGAAGCAGCCGCATAGCACAGGGAGATCAGCTCAGTGCTTTGTGATCACCTGGAGGGGTGGGATAGGGAGGGTGGGAGGGAGAGGCAAGAGGGAGGGGCTATTGGGATATATATATACATATAGCTGATTCACCTTGTTGTACAGCAGAAACTAACACAACATTGTAAAGCAATTATACTCCAATAAAGATGTTAAAAAAAAAACATACACCTACCATACAATCTAGCCATTCCATTCCTAGTTATTTATCCAAGAGAAAAAAAAATGGCATTGTTCATATAGACAGAAATGTTCATAGCATCTTAATTTGTAATAGCCAAAAACTGGAAACAACTCAAATGTCCTTCAATGGGTGAATTGATAAATTGTGATATATCCACCAACCAAGTACTACTCAGCAATACACTTTTAAATGATTAACATATGTGTATATGAACTTGTGTGCATATGTATGTGATATATATATATATATATACAATGTAATTTATGCAATTTTGTATAAATCGTTCAATTCAGGAGTGAAGTAGCATGATACCTGCAATTTACATTCAAATTGGTTAGTTAAAAATTGTGTAATCTATATAGAAATGCAAAAGTGACAAAATATGAACAACTGATAAATTTAGGTAAGGGTAGCAATATTTTCTATTCTATTCCTTCAAATTTTCTTCATATTTGAAATTATTCAAAATAGAAATTTTGCGAAAACCCAGCTATATGTGTTTATATGAGACATAACTAAAATACAATTACACAGAAAATGTAGAGGTAAATGTATGCAAAATATACACAAGTAAGCCTTAAACAAAAGAAAGCTGATGTGGCTGTAAAAATATCAGACAAAACAGACTTTAAGGCAAGAAAAGAATTAGTAGAAAGAAGTTCATGAATTAAAGGACAAAGGACAGAACTCTTCAGGAGTTCTGAATGCCTAAATTTATATTCATTTCACAACATGGTCTCAAATACATAAGGCAAAAGATGTTACCTGTGCAGTCTTCCCTCAGTATTTGGGGGGATTGATTCCAGGACCCCTGAGGATACCAAAATCTGCAGATACTCACATCCCTTATATGGATTGGTATAATATTTGTGTATAACCTATGCACATCCTCACATGTACTTTAAATCATCTCTAGATTACTTATAATACCTAATACAATGTAAATGCTACATAAAGAGTTGCCTGTGTGTAGCCTTTTCAAGCTTTGCTTTTTGGAACTTTCTGGAATTTTTTTATGTTTTCAATTTGTGGTTGGTTAAATCGAGGAAACCCATGGATGTGAAGGGCTCACTGTACAAGGAAAAATCATCAAATTTACAATCAGTGGACGATTTTAAGGCTCTTTACTAGGAAATGGATTGATCAAGTAGACAAAAAAATTGGTAAAGATATGAAAGATTTGAGCATATAATTCATATATCTGATATAAAGGGCATTTATAGAACCCAATTACAAACTCTCATAAAACATTTATTAAAACTGATGATTCCATAAGCCACAAAGGATGTTTTCAACCAACAGGAAAGAATCTATATCATTCTCTGATGACAATGTAAAATATAAAAGAAAGGAATAAAAAGGAAACAAAAATAGCCAATCCCTGCCCCCCCCATATATTTGAAAACAAAACAAAACAAATACACACTTATTCTAGGAACTTAGCCAGCAATTAATTCCCTGCATCAAACTCCTTTCTGCTTGAAGTACCTAGAGTGTTCTTTTCTGCATTTACTCTTGACTGATTTTTGTCTACATTAAAAACAAGAACTCCTGTTCAGCTATATACTATAAATAAATTAAAATCCAACACATAGATTTGTAGAAGACACTTGTTACTCACAAAGCCAACCAAGGATCAATATTGATGATATACACAGAACTAGGAATCAGTGAGAAAAACCCAGATAACGAAATTGAAAATATGAACAGTGAGAAAACCCAAATAGCATAAGAACACATGAAAAGTTGCTTAACTTCCAGAGTAATTGGAGAAGTGCAAAATAAATTACATCATTTCATTTACGTTAAATTGGCAAAAACTTAAAAATTAGGTGTTGGTGAATATAGAGAGAAATGATAGCTCTGACAAAGTATTCTGGTTAAAATTTAAATGATAGTTTGAAAAACAACTTGAAAAGACCTATTAAATTTGAGGATACACGTACTGTCTGGCCCAGCAGTTCCACATCTATTAGTACACCTGAGACAACTGCTAATATTGCATAACAATGCACATTGTTTTAGTGGCAAAACAGTTTTTTGATAAAACATAATGACCTACCAAGCAGAAAATAAATATCAATAAATTGTGGTTTATTCATTGTATAGCTTTTGAAATTAAAAAATAATCTACTTGTAAATTATGGATAAATCTTGAAAACACTGATGAATGAAGACAGCAAGTTGTAGAAGGACGTACAGAGTAAGATACTTTATAGTGTTTACGGACAATACGTATGCCCTAAAAACTGTGAATGTGAATGGGAAGAATTCCCGTTAACTTCAACAGTAACTGTAACATTTTATTTCTTTAAAAATGTATGAGGCAAATAAGGCACAATAGTAATGTATACACTGGGTGGTGGATTCATGAATGTCATTCTCTACACTTTTCTGTATATTTGAAGTTTGTGTAATTTAAGCAAATAAAGGAAATAATTCTAATAAAGGTGTAATACTATAATTGCCATTAACAATAGCAGAAGAAAAACACCATTCTGAGATACTATGAAAAATGAATGAATAATGAATGTTCACAAATGCCTAACTTTGCACAGGGAACAAAGTTAGGCATTACCTATTGTGATTGATCAGTGTTTTGGGTTTTGTTTTTAATTAGGGGATTAAAAGAATATCTGTTCTTTTTCACTAGTAAAAGCTACTAGGCCCCAAGTAACTGAAAAGTGAATGAAATATATGGTATCATGGATAAAACATCTGTGTAAAGATCAGAACTTCTCACTTTCCCTAGAGATGTGTTTCACAGTACAGAACTAATTTGATTTGTGGATTCCCAAGATAGAATCCTGGTCACAAAACCTAGCTTTGCAATAAAAAATCTTGGTTCTGGTCTTTAAGAACCTGGCAAATCACTTCAATTTTTTAAACCTGTTTACTTAACAGTGATATAAATATAATAATACAAATGAAAGCTCTCTGTAAAGTGAAAGTAAAACCCTTATGAAATGTATTATCTCAGTGGTTAACTCTAAATTCTATAGCTGAGCTGTTGTTAATCTGTTTCAAGGGCCATCCAAATCAATTTAGTTCTATTCTACTCAACTTGTACTGTTGACTGTCTGCCTCTATTAAAATGCTCAAGAGCTTTATCTTGCTAGGGCAATGGAGAAGCAAAAGAGGGTGATGAAGCTGACCAAGCTCCAAAACTCATAAAATATTCACTTGTAAGTTGGTTCATAATAGATTAAGTCTCCTGAGTACTCTTTATAACAGAAAATATGCTAAGGGTTTTCATTTAATCTTTACAATACCAGTTTTGAAATCAGTTCTATTATACTCTCCAGATTTTACATGAAGAAACTGAAGTTTAGAGAAGTGAAGTAACTTGTCCACAGTCACATGGGTAGGTCAAAGGCAAAGCTGAGGTTTGGATTTAGTTTTGTTGGATTCTAGAACCTATCTCTCATGTCTGGATCACCCATTACTGATACAGGATCTATAGACATGAAGCAGTGAACATAACTTCTAACCCAATTAGATCTGTAAACAAGGTTTTCATTCCTAAAAGACTTTAAAGAAACATTATAGCCATAAAACTATAAAATTTAATACTGAAAAAGGATTTAGATATCACCCGTAGT